ATGGGTCAAACTTCTTGGACGTATTAACAATACATCTACCAAATGAATTGCAGAAGGGTGAAGATCTATTTTAATTATGAGGGTGGTTAGGGTGTTGTTTTCCTCGATTTTTTCGTAAAAAATGAGGTATTGACCTTTATGATAGGTCTATTTATGCTCTTTAAAAAAGGTTTTGTGAGTTTTCTTCCAAAAATGCATCATTTTCCCGATATTTGACTTTGAATCTTTCAAATTTGGCATTTGAAGAAAACCGCTGAACATTGATATTGTATTTGTAATTGTATTTGTCTTTTTAAAAGCTACAAATTTGTTCTCTACAATTTTTTTGATACAATGCACCATTTTTGAGTTATTTGCGAAAAATCGATTAAAGACGTGGATTTTTTCGTCTAAAAGTTGTTACTTTCAATCGCGAATAACTTGAAAAATATCATTTTATAAAAAAAATGTATAGCACATTTTTTGTTTAGAATCACTTTTCTAATCGAAACCTGTAGTTAAAACGTAAAAAAAAATTTTCACCCCGGAGATGGGGTGGCAACCACCCCCTAGGCTTTGGCACACTTTGGTTCGATATAGATTTTGATCCTTACGCTATTACCTACCTTCTGTTAAATTTCAAGTCAATCCACGCCGCACGAAAAAATTGCGAGGTGAAATGCTACATTTCCTGGACTATAACTGGTTTGACAGCATAATAAAATCGTAGATTTATGTGTAGCTTTCAATTTTTATGAGTTCAGAATCCAGCAGCCCGCTGAAGTATGGGATTTTTTATAATATAATTATTTGACAACCTTTTGTTGGCCAACCAGCTACAGCAGAATTGAGCCGAAATACATTATATCCCTATGTTCCGAATTTATTTCGTTCAATCTGTATATATATATATATATATATATATATATATATATTTATTATTGGGATATTTAAAGTCTTAGTGCGCCAAGCAATTAATTAGCCAATTAATTAATTAAAATTATTTAAATGATATATGATTATGACTCTATCACACTTTTTAATTCTCTTATCTCAGGGTTCTATTTGTGCTTCAATATCTATGCATTACATGTGAAAGGTAAGGTCCAAAGAATACCGGAATAATAAAAAAAACCACATGATATAACACTATATTATATTGAAATAAAAATAATGAAATAAAATTCACACTCAAATGTTTTCAATAAACAAAATCTCATATAATGATTCTCAAAATTTTGTTATACGTACGTGAACCTTCAAAATTTTTGGTACAAACAATATTAGTTAAAATCTCAAAATCCCAATTATTTTTCTAAATCTCCTAATCAAAATATTTATATCTTTTCTAAAGTAAGTGTAAAAATTGTGATACCAATAAAAGAAAAACTGCAGAAAAACAAAACTATCTCTCTCGGATGTTGAGTGGTCCAAATCCTTGTTCCTTATAGCCTATACTATCTATTCTTTGCAGCTCCCTAGGTAATCAGCAATCTTACAACAAATTATTGCAAGTTTATCGTTCTTAATGATCTCCTTCAAATGCACGAATCGTTCAAATTATGCTAGCTTCTTCCTTCTCAATAAACTGAATCTCTCGTTGGCCTGAGTGAAAAAATGACTCTTGGAATATCTTCTCTTTACGATAAACTGTATCTCTCGTTGGCCTGAACAGTGACTCTTGGAATATAAGTAGAAAATATAACTTACAATCTTTTACTGGATCAGCTTCTGTAAGATATACTAACTACACGAAATCTCACAAACTTTCACTGCTACTGCTTCCTACCTCTGGGAAACTACCCGAGAACAACGGCCGTTCGCCTTACACCTTTGAAAAACCAACTGACTATAAATTTTTCTTCCAAAACTAACTAACGTCTCATTTTTAAACCAAACCTCCCACCTTTTCCAATCTCATCCAATCAAAACGCCTCATACATCTCCCATTTCTTCATTTCGATAACACACAAATTTTTACCTACAATTATAAAATTTCCTAAAACTTATTTACAAAATCTTTTCCTACCAATTCTAAAGAACTAACAAAAACATATCTTTCTAAATTCTATTTTATTGTCCTAATTACTGCACAAAATTTATTTGGAAAAACCGCTTCCATTGTCTAGTGTTTCACTTAAGCTTATGCAGGTCACTCAAATATATTTTAACAAAGAAAATAATTTATGCATATCTTACGTTTTGTTCAATACAGGTAATCCAAATTTTAAAGACTTTCCTTCTTCGAAATGTTTGTAATTTATTGTTTGACTTACCTGAATTATTTTAATGTTTTTGAACTTTGTAATATTTTAAGCAAACCAATATGTTTCTTGACTTTACATATCATAACAATATATATATATATATATATATATATATATATATATATAATATATATATATATATATATATATATATATATATATATATATATATATGTATATATATATATATATTTATATATATATATATATATATATATATATATATATATATATATATATTTATATATAAAAAA